CTGTTCCCCTGTGCCCCTACACCCCGGTTCCAGGTTACCCCCTAGCAACCCCCCCCCCCCCCCCCCCTCTTACGGATCCTGCTCCCTCTGGTGTGTCCTAAGTCTCACCATCCTCCTTGGTTAAGCCTTTGAAGGTCTCCTTAGACCCCACTGGCCCTGCCGAGGGGGACATCCATCTGCTAACAACACTTCGGTTCGCATCTCACCGCGCTTGAAGATTCTTCCTAGTTTTCTGCCTCAGTCGCCTTCGCTACCTCTACAGCCAGTCGCTGCGGACTCCGATGTTGCTGGGGTTGGTGACGCTAGAGGTGTGGGCTCTAGGGCTGCTGGTCTTGGGGGTGGTGACGTTTGGGGTGCGGGCTTTGGGATCCTGGGTCTGGGGGTGTTGACACTGAGGTTGCTGGTTGTGGGGTTACTGAGAGTCCTATTGGTGGTGGAATCGAGGGTACTGCTAATGGGAATGTAGTGTTGGCCCCACCCCCGCTTGGGCGACGCCGACTTCCAGCAGTCTTTTCTGCCTCTTTCTGCGTCTGTTGCTCAGGGTTCTGGTGCTGGAGGTACTGGAGCTGGAGGTGCTGGAGGTTCTGGTGCTAGAGGTCCTTCCACTAGAGGTGTTGGAAGTTCTTATATTGGAGCTACTACTGCTGGAGGTGCTGGAGATTCTAGTGCTGGAGGTACTACCGCTAGAGGTACTAGAGCTGGCGGTGCTGGAGGTTCTGGTGCTGGAGCTACTGGAGTTGGAGGTACTGTCGCCGGAGGTACTGGAGTTGGACGTGCTACGCAGCCAAGGCAGCGGCGATCGTTCTTCTTGGACCAGCTGCAATCGTCACGGCCACCACCTGGCTTGGCACTTCACCAGGTTCTTCATCTTCCTTTGGCCTCTGCAGAACCGCCTACTACTGGTACTGCTCCTCCTCTACTGACTTCACCTCCTGACCCTTCTTAGCCACAATTACCACCTGACTCCCCACTGCCTTTTCCTTTTTGTTACACCGAGCAGACAGACTCCCGGATTGAGCGTTGAATGCATGTGTCCCGTCCTGCCTCCCTTGTTGCTAATCGTGCTTGCGGTGTTCGCCCTCCACCTGTTCTTAGTGAGCACACTATGGCACTTCGTCCTTCCTCTATTGCACATCGTCCTGTCCTTCCGTCTCTTCCAGCATCCTCTTTTCATAACGTTCCTGACCCTAAGTCTGACCTTGCTCTTGCTGTTAGTACTACTGTCTGTCTAGCCACACATGTCGTTGACCCTGCCTTTGAGTGTACTAAGAAATTTTTAGCCAATACGTGTACGATAAGGACGTTGGAGAGCTGGATGACTGTATTTGTTTCTGGTGACTAAAGAAGAATTGTGCCTTAATGTCGGGGTAAGTAAGGTTTGATTTTTGGCGACTGCGACGGTAACATCTTCATGAAGTCGTGCTTCGTGTTTCACGTCGAACTTGTTAATGCTGACGTGCACATGTGTTGTGCGTAGCAGCTATTAAGAAACCAAACGTTGGGGCTGTATGGGGCTGTAGTTATCACACTGGCGTACTGTGGGTTGACTTGAACGTTTGCTGGAATAACTTCCATCAATTCATCTCGTGAAAAGGTCAGAGGTGATTCTGGTATAAAGGAATCAGTTTTTGCCATCCATGCCTGTACGTTCTTCCCCTTTGATGCTGATGCTGTCTTTAGTTTGGCCTTTGCAGCCGAAGCAATGGCGGCTGCGACCTGTGGTGGAGCGGCAACTGTACGCTGAGGTGTTGATTGTTGAAGCTATGGGCAGTGGTCATGAGAATGGCCAAATATTCTGCAGTTGTGATAGAACGGTGGTATGCAAGATTGCTGCTGCTACTGCTACTGCCGTTTTCTCTGCTTCAACTATTGCTAATGATACTTGTGACGTTGTTGCTTCTGTGGTTGCACTAGCCTGTGTGTTATAAAGGTGAACTAATTTGTTTTCTTGTTGCTTTTTCTGTCGTACAGGTCCATGTATTGTTGTTCAGCAAGAAGAGTTGCGCAAATGTGCAACTTTGAGACGTTGCCCTGGTTTGAAAAAGAGAGCGTGTCTGTCACCACTGTGGTCCAGCGACAGACAACTGTTATGAACATTAAATCAGGGAACTGTCCTTTGTTTTGTCGAAATTGTTCCCGTAAGTCTTTGCACCTATTGATGTTCTGGAATGCCTTCTCTCCTGGTTTCATCTCCATGCTGTTCAGTTGCTGATTCATCGTCTGTTGCTTGGTAGAGTTGCTTCAAATGTTGCCATGCTAACTCCGCTGAATTTGCAAACTCTCTATATGATGTGATGTCTTGTTGCTTTGTAAGTGATAGTTTCCAAAAAATAGTGGTGAATGTCATCATCGATTGAAAGGTGAAACCACGATGTTGTTCTTGTGTACCGGTAGCTGGTAATTGTATTTCTCGAATGATGTATTCCCAAATCTGTGCTGCTTCCATTTTGAGTTCAAACTCGAACCTCCACAAAATAAATTCCATTCCGTTGAAAGGTCTTGAAGTACGGAACTTCAGGATGTTCTACATTTGTGTCTGATAGTTTCTCATGTCTCTTACTCCAAGTCCATCTTCATCTTGTTGCTGTTGTTGTTGAGCAGGTGTGGCGCGAGGCACAAACGCATAAGTGGTCCGTGACCGCTGCCGAGGCGGAGCATAGTAATATAGTGGCTGTTGTTGTAAGTATGATGTCCCATCGACACTCGTAGGTGCCGTACCCATATTCACCGATGTTGAAGCTTGTGGTGCTTTTGTATTTGTGGTGCTGATGCTATGAACGCTGACATGCACTAAAAAACTTGCTGTTGTATTGCAGGATCGATGGCGATTTACCCATCTCCGTTAGCGGTGTTAAATATGAAGGCCGGGGAAGATCCTCCACCATCTCCTGAACCAGTTGCAAATGATGCTGTTAATACATGACTAGCATGGGTATACCGGAGCCAAGCGGTGGGTATGCAGAGGTCTGCTGTGTACTACTACCTCCATTTTGTAAGTGAGCTTTCCTGTTGTTTCCTGAGGCCATGTCTATCGTCTGCTGAAAATAAAGTTCTTGAGAAACTGTAAATGATGTGTAGGAATTTGTAGACATTCTTGCTCTCATACTGTGACAGGTCAAAAAAATCCCATATGATATCTTAGACTCTAGTCCTTAATTACATTGTTGCAGCAGAAGTTTTGTATGAATGCCAATACTAGTTAATAAGAAACAAGAATAATTAATGATAGTTACGAGTACTATATAGTATTGTCAGGTACCTATTCAATGATGTACTTATTTACGAACAGTTCTATTTATCAAGTTGACTTCAGATACGGTACTTTCATGTGTCACGCAAAGGGACACCTGCTATAGTAACGCACACTTATAATAATACTACGATGCTACTGTAATGCTTAAACTACTAAGTTGTATGAGTCATTTTTTTTACTCTAGCACCAGCAATCCAAGATCATTGCACACCCAATGGCATAATAGATTTGCACAAACGCGTGAAAAGGGTAATAGTACATGAACCATCCAACACGTGCATGTGAAAGCTAAAAAACTTGCTGAACCACACTCCCCCTCTTAGCCATAAAATCGACCCAAGCACCAGCCTCACTCACGAACTCAACCTTTCCCTTCCCAACCACACCACTCATACTCATCTCAACAAACTCAACAACAGATGACGCCAGTGGCTCCACACATATCTTCTTGACTGAAAAGAGTCAATCTACACCAAGAGCTGGACTACGGGGGAAAGCACGTATGGAACAAGTAATCGAAGTAGGGCAAAAGCAGGTTGGCCTGCCAGCGCAGCAAGTCGGCGGCTCGTCAATGCAGCTAGATAATGGCTTGCCAGCACTGCAGCAAGGGGGCTTGCCAGCGTCGCAACTCCGTGCGACAATAGTGCATGTGCGCACCACCCACTTCGCAGGTGCGTATTGGCGGTTGAGCACGCTGTGCAGCGTGTCAAACATTGTATATGTTATATTTGTGTAGGCTGTAGTGGGTTAGCCTATAAGGGGGTCACAGCGTTAGGGTTTCATATTTGTACTCACATTCCATTCTAGTTCACCATTCCAGTCTGTTATTTTTGACATGGTTTCAGAGCAGGTCCTTCGCTAGGACCGTCCTAAGGGCCCACCTACCTACCTACCTACCTACTTACTACCTACCTACTACCGGAGCGCGTTCTTAGCGCCTCCCCCGTAGCGCCCTCGAGCGCTTTATTATTAACTTTTTTTTTTTTCGGCCCCGCTGGCCCCGTCGATCGAGCCCCGCCTAGAGGCCCCGCGGCCCCGTCGTATTTGACCTAGAGGCCCCTCACGGCCCCGTCGCGCCGCCCCTTAGCGCCTCTTACGACCCCGCCGCGCCTCTTACGACCCCCGCGATCCCCCCTAACGGCCCGCGCACCGCCCGCTACCGACCCACGCAGTCCGCACTTCACCCGCGCGGCCTGCGTGCTGCCCGCTGCCGGCCCGCGCACCGCTAGCGCCACTCGCGTACCGCACGCCCGTTGCCTGCAGCCGCTCGCGCACGCCCCGCAGCCGCCCGTCGCCTGCTCGCACACGCCCCGCAGCCGCCCGTCGCCTGCTCGCGCACGCCCCGCTGCCCGCAACTGCTCGTACGCCGCTGCCTCCGTTGCTGCTTGCGCACCGCTGCCTCCCGAGCGCCGCCGCTGCCTGTGCGCCGCCGCTGCCCGTGCGCCGTCGCTGCCCCTACGCTGCCGCTGCTCGTGCGCCGCCGCTGCCCGTGCACCGCCGTTCCCCGTGCGCCGCTGCCGCCCGTGCGCTTCTGCAGCCGCCGCCCGCGAGGCACGCGCTCTCACTGTTTTTTACTTGCTACCTACCGCGCACACTGCTGCCACTGCAGCTGCCACCAGTGCGCCGTTGCAGCTCCTGCTGCCACGCTACCTACTACTGCCGCTCGTGTGCCACTACGGACAGTTGACCCTCCGCACACCTTTCCAGCGGCCTGATTCCTACTACTACTGCTACTGCTACTGTCACTATGGCTAGTCCTCCCGTTCTAGCTTTCGATGCCGAGGGCCGTCCAGTGAAGTTCGAAACCTGGCTAGATGACCTGCACCTGTTCCTACAGCTCACTGCCAAGGAAGATATCTCACTGTACGACCACGCCCTAGGCCATGCCACTGCCCCTGACTCGTCTGCTGACAGCACTCTGCGTTCCCAGTGGCAGACCCGTGATGCGCACGCTCGCTTTGCTATTCGCAACTCCCTGCCGCTAGACGAGCGCGAGCACTTCGGCCAGTGCAAGACTGCTAAGGACCTCTACACCGCTGTAGTTGCCCGCTACTCCTCACCCGCCTCTGCCACGCTAGGCCGCCTCACTCTCCCCTACCTGTTCCCCGACCTAGCCTCCTTTCACACTGTCGCAGACCTCATCACCCACCTTAAGACTAGTGAGGCCCGCTTTCGCGCTGCTATGCCTGCCGAGTTTCTCACTAGCAACCCCCCCCCACTCTGGATCACTCTCTACCACATCGTCACCCGCCTCCCTGACTCTCTGCGCGCAGTCAGGGACCACTTCCTCGCTCGCTCCCCCACTGAGCTCACTGTTGCCCTCCTCGAGAAGGAACTGCTTGCAGCTGAGGCGAGCATCGTCGCTGTAGGCACCTCTCGTGGCGACCCCCGCACCCCGTTCTTTGAGGGGTGTTCCCCTTCCCCCCTCCTCCCCTCTGTCGCCTCTGCTGCTGCTGTCGACCTTCTTGGTGCTGAGAAGGTCGGGACCGCGTCTGCTTCGAGCGGGCGCCGCAGGAACAAAGGGGGCAGGGGTGGGGGTGGCGGCGGAGGAGGTGGGGGTGGAGGCGGTGGGAGTGGAGGCGTGGCTGCGGAGACTAGTGGCGGCAGTGGGGGAGGAGACAGCAGCGGTGGGAGTGGTGGTGGAGGCGGCAGCGGAGGCGGAGGTGGTCGTGGCGGCGGCAGGGGTGGAGGTGGCCGGGGCGGCGGCGGTGGGGGTGGTGGTCGTGGAGGCACTGGCGGAGGGCAGAGTCAGCAGCCCGCCCCGACGCTTCAGGCCGCCCGTGAGTGGTATGCGCAGCGTAGCGTTACCTGCACGTACGTCATTCGCACAGGTGACCGCAGCGGCCAGCAGTGTGGGAGGCCGCACCCCACGCAGCGCTGCTTCGCGCACCTTAACGACGCGTGGCGCACTCAGTTTCCTGCTGCCACTGAGCTGCCGCGCTGGGCTGATCTGGAAAAGAGGGGTGTTGATATTTGGGCTTTAGACTTTGATGCTATTCTCACTGCCATGTATGCGATGTCTATTAGTGGAGAGGGTGCTCAGTACTTGCGTGTTCCGCCCGACCCGGGCATTCAGGCCAGTCCGGCTGCCGCTCTAGGTGCTAGCGCGTCTGCTCCCACAGGTCCTGGTGAGGCTGCAGCCCTAGGTGCTCGTGCGTCCGTGTCCCCTGGTACTGAGTCGACTGCAGCACTACACACCTTCACACTGGACTCAGGTGCTTCTCGCTCCTTCTTTCGTGACCGCACTGTCCTTGAGCCACTCGCTCGGCCAGTTGCTGTCTCCCTTGCTGACCCCTCTGGGGGTCCGGTCATTGCGACCTCCTCCACTGTCCTTCCTTGTCCGGCGGTCCCGTCCGGCACGCTGTCAGGTCTCTACCTCCCCTCGTTCTCTACGAACTTGGTGGCAGGTAGTGCGCTCCAGGACGGGGGTGTTCACCAGTTCACCCCCGCCTACGAGCGCGTGACACACTGCACGTGTGCTCGGACGGGTTGCCACCTGGCTACCTTCACTCGGGAGCCGGGGTCGGACCTGTACACACTGACCACTGAGTCTCCTCAGGTAGCTGCGTCTGCGTCTACGTCTGCGTCTGCGTCAGGTCAGCTGTCCGCCCCCTGCTCGTGTCGCTCTCTGGCGCATGAGACTGTCCTTTGGCACCACCGCCTTGGTCACCCGTCTGTGCAGCGCCTTCGGGCCATGCACAAACGGGACCTTGTTGCTGGTCTTCCCAGGGTGCTCCCTCCCCTTCCCGACTCGCCTGCTCCTCCCTGTATTCCCTGTGTCGAGGGACGGCAGCGCGCCGCTCCTCACTCCTCCTCCTTTCCCCCGACGACTGCTCCCTTGCAGACGCTCCACATGGACGTGTGGGGCCCAGCCCGCGTCCGTGGTCAGGGTCAGGAGAGGTACTTCCTGATTGTTGTTGACGACTTCTCACGCTACACCACGGTCTTCCCCTTGCGCGCCAAGGGTGACGTCCCTGATGTCTTGATCCCTTGGATCCGCAGATCTCGTCTCCAGCTCAGTGAGCGTTTCCACTCCGACTTCCCTGTCCTGCGTCTGCACTCTGACAGAGGTGGGGAGTTTTCCTCTGGCCTATTGGAGGCCTTCTGTCAGCAGGAGGGCATTGAGCAGTCGTACACGCTTCCGGCCTCTCCACAGCAGAATGGGGTTGCTGAGCGCCACATTGGTCTGGTCATGGAGGTCGCTCGTACCTCCTTGAGCCATGCGGCTGCCCCCCATTTTCTGTGGCCGTTTGCAGTTCGATACGCTGCACATCAGCTCAACCTCTGGCCCCGTGTCTCCTTGCCCGAGACTTCTCCGACACTGCGTTGGACGGGAGAGGCTGGCGATGCGTCGCGTTTTCGGGTCTGGGGATCCCGAGCTTTTGTTCGCGACACGTCCGCGGACAAGCTCTCCCGTCGCGCTGTCCCCTGCGTCTTCCTTGGCTTTGTCCCGGACGCCCCTGGCTGGCAGTTCTACCACCCCACCTCGCGTCGTGTCCTGGCCTCTCAGGACGTCACTTTTGACGAGTCCGTCCCCTACTACCGCCTCTTCCCCTACCGCACTGCCCCGCTCCCCCCCCCGCCTCTCTTCCTCGCTCCAGGTGCTGAGGTACCAGACCCCCTCCCCCCTCAGGGTGCCGCTCCCTCAGGTGTGTCCCAGGTAGACCCGGGTGAGCCTGTCGAGGTAGCTGTTGACTCTCGTCCGTCTGGGGGTGCTGAGCCTGGGGGTGCTGCGTCTGGGGGTGCTGAGCCTGGGGGTGCTGCGTCTGGGGGTGCTGAGCCTGGGAGTGCTGAGTCTGGGGGTGCGGAGCCTGGGGGTGCTGAGCCAGGAGGTGCGGAGCCTGGAGGTGCGGAGCCTGGAGGTGCTGAGCCTGGGGGTGCTGAGTCTGGGGGTGCGGAGTCTGGGGGTGCTGAGCCTGCGCGTGCTACACCTGGAGGAGCCCTCTCCTCCCAGCAGCTGCAGGAGAGGTACCTCGAGTACTGCCGCCTCCGGAGAGGTGCTGCTGGAGCTCGTCCCGGTACTTCCCCTCCTACCCAGGAGCTCCCCCCCATTCAGCAGATCCGCGAGTGGTACACACGCCGCTGCAGTCTTCGGAGTGGTGCTCCTGGTGCTGCGGACCCTGGGGGTGGCGCTGCTGCTGGTGCTGAGGACCCGGACGTTGGAGCTGCTGCTGGTGCTGCGGACCCGCCTGGTGGAGCTGCTGCTGGTGCTGAGGACTCGGACGTTGGAGCTGCTGCTGGAGCTGAGGACCCGGGCGGTGGCGCTGCTGCTGGTGCTGAGGACCCGGACGGTGGAGCTGCTGCTGGTGCTGAGGACTCGGACGGTGGAGCTGCTGCTGGAGCTGAGGACCCGAGCGGTGGCGCTACTGCTGCTGCTGAGGACCCGGGCGTTGGAGCTACTACTGGTGCTGAGGACCCGGCCGGTGGAGCTGCTGCTGGTGCTGTGGACCCGGACGCTGGAGCTCCTACTGGTACTGAGGACCCGGCCGCTGGAGTCTCCTCTGCTTCTGGAGACGCTGCGCGGCCGCGACCGTACTTCGTATCGCTCCTTCAGCAGGTTCTTGGGCAGGCTCCTCCTCCTTGTCCTCCTCCCTCCGTAGAGTGTCCCCCGCCTGTCCAGCCGCAGTCACAGTTACCGCCTACCTCGCCTCTCCCTGCTCCCTCTCCTTACACTGGTCCCACAGGAGGTCTTACAGAGCGTCGTGAGCCTGAGTCTCGTCCTGCGTCGCCTGTTCGTCCTGCTCGCACTGGTAGTCGTGTCCGTCGTGAGCGTCCTCCTCCTGTTCCAGGGACTCACTACATGACTCTGCATCCCTCTACTGCTCCTCAGCGTGTCCCTCTACCGTCTCCTCCTGCGTCCTCTTTGCCTGACGTTCCGGACCCTGAGTCTGACCGGTATCGTGCTGAGCACCCTACTGTCACGCGTCTCCTTGCTACTGTTGTCACTGACCCTACCTTTGAGACCTCGGCTGCGTCTGCTCTGGTCGCTGAGTTGGTTGACTTTGCTGCTGCCTGTCGTCTAGACTACGCTGCTAGCCTTGTTGCTGAGTCTGTCTGTCCTCAGTCCGTCGGGGGTGAGTGTGCTCTTGGCACGGACGTCCTTGAGGACAGACAGGAGGAGTTCCAGTGTCTTGCTGCTGCTTTGCCCCGTCTCGTGTCCTTGCTAGTTGCCCCTGAGGGAGACCCGGATGCACCAGACATCCCGACCCCGCGCACTTACGCTGAGGCGATGGCGGGTCCCTACTCCTCTCAGTGGCAGACAGCCATGGACGCCGAGATGGCTTCCTGGAAGTCCACACGCACCTACGTCGACGAGGTTCCCCCTCCTGGGGCGAACATCGTCAGTGGCATGTGGATTTTCAGGGTGAAGCGGCCGCCGGTTTCTCCTCCTGTCTTCAAGGCGCGTTACGTGGCTCGAGGCTTCAGCCAGCGAGAGGGAGTTGACTTCTTCCAGACCTTCTCCCCCACCCCGAAGATGACCACTCTTCGGGTGCTGCTGCACATAGCCGCTCACCGCGACTACGAGCTTCACTCACTTGACTTCAGCACTGCTTTCTTGCAGGGCAGCCTGCACGAGGAGATCTGGCTGCGCCGCCCACCTGGCTTCACTGGGTCGTTTCCTCCTGGTACCCAGTGGAGGCTTCAGCGGCCGGTCTACGGTCTCCACCAGGCTCCGCGTGAGTGGCACGACACACTGAGGACTACAATTGCGGCTCTTGGGTTCGCGTCACTGTTCCTGCGCACCGACACCTCGCTGCCGCCGTTCTACATCCTCGTGTACGTCGACGACTTGGTCTTTGCCACTGCTGACACTGCAGGACTCGCCTACGTGAAGTCGGAGCTGCAGAGGAGACACACGTGCACAGACCTGGGTGAGCTGACAAGCTATCTTGGCTTGCGGATCACCCGGGACAGAGCACGGCGCACCATCACCGTGACTCAGTCACACATGGTGCAGCAGGTTCTCCAGCGCTTCCGCTTCACGTACTCCTCGCCTTAGTCCACTCCTCTGCCTACCGGTCACTCGCTCTCAGCTCTGCCTTCGGATGAGTCTGTAGAGCCGAGTGGCCCGTATCCAGAGCTTGTGGGCTGCCTCATGTACCTGATGACCTGCACTCGACCTGACCTTGCATACCCTCTTAGCATCCTTGCACGCTATGTCGCTCCTGGCCGTCACAGGAAGGAGCACATGGATGCCGCTAAGAGGGTGTTGCGCTACTTGTGCAGTACGTCGGGCATGGGGCTTGTGCTTGGAGGGCGAGACCGAGTTGTTCTCACAGGGCACTCAGACGCTTCTTGGGCAGATGACCAGGCCACTCAGCGGTCGTCTCAGGGCTACACCTTCAGCCTTGGCTCTGGCTCAGTTTCTTGGCGCTCTACACGCTCTTCTTCTGTTCTCGGCTCCAGTTGCGAGGCTGAGATCTACGCTACAGCCATGGCTGCCCAGGAGCTACGCTGGCTGACCTACCTGCTGACCGACCTCGGAGAGCGGCCTCGTTCTCCTCCAGTACTGTACGTCGACAACAAGGCTGCCATTGCCTTGTGTGAGGAGCACAGACTGGAGCACAGAACGAAGCACATCGCCCTGCGGTACTTCCTTGCTCGAGAGCTGCAGCAGCGCGGTCAGCTTTGTATTCGCTACGTGGCCACTGAGGCCAACACTACTGATGTGTTCACCAAGGCGCTTCAGCCTTGTGACCATCAGCGCTTCTGCACTCTACTAGGCCTTGTGCCTACTGGACCTCACTTGCTTACCTCTTGACTTTGCTTGTACTGTGATCACTATATATATCTATACCTGCATGTTTACTCTTGCTAGGTTGTGATCACTGTATCTCGTGCTCTGTTATAAACCTGCATGTGAACTGGTCTTGTGACCACTAGCTTGTGCTCGGAATTTGTGTGGAATCCTTGAGATCCACCCTGAGCTTGTTGTTGCCTTGCTTTGCCTTGACTGGTCTTGTGACCCCTAGGTCTCCCCCACTTTGCCTATGGGGGTGTGTCAAACATTGTATATGTTATATTTGTGTAGGCTGTAGTGGGTTAGCCTATAAGGGGGTCACAGCGTTAGGGTTTCATATTTGTACTCACATTCCATTCTAGTTCACCATTCCAGTCTGTTATTTTTGACACAGCGCCCTGGACATTGCTCAAGTGCCAAGTTGCGGTCGGTTGCGCTTGATGTACCACGTCAACCTCGAGATACCAGCCAGAGATTGGCTTCGCCTAAACCACCAGGGCGACGTCCGCAAGCCCCCGCAGATCTTCATCAGCCATGTTATATGGTCAACCAGAGGTGGGCGCCAAGGTCCACAAGTCGGCGCCCCCCTAAGTTGGCGCCATGTGGACAAGCACCTTCCCCACTGCCGACTTTACCTCGTCGACGAACATCGCAGCCGGCTTCGTTGAAGTCTGCTCTGCTGTAGCTGACTTCTTACGAGTCGGCTCACCATCGAAGTCGGCTAACCACGCCGACTTGATCCTTCGAGTCGGCGCCGACTTGAATTGTAGGAGCCCGCCATCTGATATATGTATTTGTCGATTTCCCAGGGTTGACACCACTGGCGAAGCATCAGAGCGGCATGCCAACCTGGAGCAGAGTGGCTTGCCAGTAGCAGAGCGGCCTGCCAACGCTGCAGTAGGGTAGCCTGCCAGCGCTGCATATGTAGGTTAATATCCTGTGCACATGTGCGCACCTACAAAGTAGGTGTAAGTTGACGGTTGCACCGTCAAGCATATTGCGTAAGTGCCAAATAGAAAACACCTCGACGGTTTCGCTGAACGTCCACCGTCGTGCACGTGATGATGTTCCGCATATTAACTTTCGCCAATACATTCCGGCCGAAATTCGCATATTTCTGCAGAGTTTCGTTGTCGGGCGAATTTAGCTGACCAGTTTGCCGAGACTCGATTCACCAAAAAGTGCCATTCAATCCAAGGATGAGGCTCCTAGAAACAGGGCTCATCAAACTGGAGGACGGCTTCTGAGAAAGTGCCCCGTCCATCTGAGTTTGTTGACGGGCCAGCCGATCACAGTATGGGCTCGTCGAATAACACCCTATCGATTTGAGCTTGTTGATGGGCTAGCCGACCAGAGGACGGCCTCATAAAAAACCACCCCATCAACCAGAGGACGGGCCAGTTGAGGATCTATGCCGCCTAAACCCGGAAGCCAATTCCACGACCGCTTCGTCGAATTCACTATGTTGTCGAAGAGAATACATACGCCGAGGTGAGGGCAGGGTCTTTCACTACAACACTCCCCTGCCCAACGCAAACTTCGACACTTTACCTGCAAAATTCCGTCGAGGTTAGTGTCGCGCACTTTCTGCGATGGCTCGTCCAAGAGACAGCTGCACTGCTAAAGACAAAAATATAGCCATTTGTGCTGCTGTGATGCTTCTTGTCTTAGGGGCAATTGTTGGGGGGGGGGGGAGTGAGGTTCCAGGGGGGGCGGCTGAAAAGGGGGTGAGGTTAAGAGGGGTGGCTGGCTGGAGTGGCGATTCGGGGGTTAGTAAGAGGGGTTCGCCACTCCCCCCCCCACCTCCTCTCCTTATCCCTCTCTCACCTCCCCCTTTCGTACTTCGCATCCCTCTCCTCTCCACTCTCTCTCTCTCTCTCTCTCTCTCTCTCTCTCTCTCTCTCTCTCTCTCTCTCTCTCTCTCTCTCTCGGGCCACCTTCTTGCTTCTCCGCCTGATTCCTTTGCAGCCATCCTCTCTGCCCGCAGGTGCTCTTCTGCTTTCTCACGATGCGCTCCCCCATCTGCCCTTGAGGTGCTGGGTGACGAACGTTCACTACTCCTGCCTCGCGCCTTCCCTTCCAGCCGCCGCCTCCTTGCTGGCGAGCACTGAACGTGCCTTCCTTCTTGATTCTCGTCCTCCTGCTCTTTCGACCATTCCGGCGATTTCCTTCCTCCCATCACCATACGCCTCCTGCCCACACGGCCTTGACCCGGCTCGGGCGACCGATACACTCTTGCTGGTGCAGCACGGCTCTTCTCCTCCTCCCCTCATTCCCTTGACAATGGCTTAGCTGCTTCGCTCTTCTTGCGCCTCGCTTCACCTCCACGCGATCCCTTGGGCGAGTATTCTGCTCCTCTGATTCCTCGACCGTCATCCCACTCTTCTTAATGATGCTTCTGTCCATCTGCTTCCCTCTCATATTTTCCCTTCACGCAACCCCGTGTAGTTGGTGTCTCTTTCCGTTGTGCCATGTCCTGCATTCCACCACCCCGCGCAATTGGGGTACCCTCGCGTTCCTCTCTGCAGCGCCTTGCGCTACTCCCACGCACCACCTCTGGCGTGCAACCTGCCTCCCAGCTTCCGCAGCGCCTCGCATCACCCCCACGCATCTCCCCTGGCGCGCAATCTGGATCCGCAATATTTCCTTGGCGCCTCGCGCCTCTCCCGCACATCCCCTCTGGTGCGCGAGCTGCCTACGCGACGTTCCCCTGACGTCTCACGCCACTCCCGCGTAACTCCTCTGGTGCGAAATCTGCATCGGCGCTCCCGTGACGTTTCGCGCCGCCGCCGTGCATCCCTACCAGCGACCCATTTTCGCCTGTGTCGTTGCTCCCTTCGTCGCGCTCTTCTTTCGCGACTTCCTTATCACCATCCCGCATCGTCGAGACCTCTTCTGCTTCCTCGCCATCGGCCTCGTTTGCCAACTCCGACGATTCCACCACGTCTGCGTCGTCGTGACGCCTTCCACCCTCTCCTTGCTGGCCGCCTGCCAGATTCCAAGGACTGCTGCTGGACGGTCGAGGCCTGGGCTCTGATCCCGCGTGCAGATCTGCCTCGCCTCTACCTCGACGTCCGTCAAACGCCAGATTTGTGCGGTACGCCGCCCTCCGTGGCGAACGTGTCCCCGATCTCCCACGCTTCAGTGAGTGCGTCCTCCGCGACGGTGAAGAATCTTGCCGCGAGTTCATTTACTGCCAGCGCAGCTCGTGGCAGTCCATTCTGCCCAATCTTTTCTCTCGTTTGTGAGAGATTCTCCCTCCTACACGATGACTGCCCCTTGTGGCTTAGTCACCTAGCTGTAGTAGCGTCGATCGGCAACGTACATCCACTATAATAGGCAAACAAATGAGAGAATAGGATTTGCAGACTAGGCTAGGCTACTTAAACCGCCTTCCCTCCTCGTGAATGTTTCATCGAGTTGGGTTGGGCTCGAGTCGCCTGGGCGTGGATTGGCCCTCGCAAATTTTCTGGTCCCCAAGGGTCCTCGAATGCTTCCTCCTAGGCACTCCGCAAGCTCCAATATCACCAACTTCACGTCACCCCCTGTACCCCAACTACCACTCGGTGAAACTGCATATAACAAAGTACACGCATCTACACCTCACTAAGCATGGAACTGAATATACTGTTCGTAACTGTAAATTCAGTGACAAGTCTCATGTCGACATTGGGATACCAGCCCTCGATCGCCCTTGCCATCGCGACCTCAGCGACGGTCGCGTGCCTTCGCAGATCCTCGTCACCCAGGTAACCTAATCGACCGGGTCAACCACCCAGCATACACCCTGGTTAACGACCTTTCTCATCGACTACCGCGCCCGTCGAAGACCCCTCTTCTCGACAGACCCCTCCGTTGACCAACTTGATCAGCTCCGGCCGTCGAGATCCCCTAGTCAACGGCTCCAGCTCCGCGACTGTTCTGTGCGGGTCGACGACCACACCTGCTCCGCAAAAGGAGGCCGTCGGCTCCCCGCCGACGGCATCGCCGTAACGGTCCCCTGTAGCTCGACGAGACCCGTCAAGCTGCTCGCCTAGGCTGGCGTCAACCACAGAATGCAATCGGCTGCTTCTTCCGTGCACCCGATCAGGAAGTCGGCGTCGCCCAAGCGAGGGCGGGGCCAACACTCCATTTCAGTTAACACTCTCCTGCCGCACTCACGCTTGGGCACCCTACCCACACGGCAGAACTCTACGGAGAAAAACTCAGTGCCGGCGTGCACCCAATACACAGCATGCCGTCACAGCACCAGCCGTGCAGAAGGGCATGATATCTACTGCTGCACATCGTCATTACTGCCATTGACATCCGGCAGGCACACCTGGCTGATCGCGACGGAGCACCAATTGAAGGACGGAAAGTGGAGCGCCTTTGTCAGGAAGTCTGCTGGCTGCTTGAAAGTTGAAATGTACCTCAGCACGAACTTCCAGCACTTCACCATCTGCTGCAGCAAGGCGTAGCGTCGCTCCATGTGCTTGAGGTTGCCCTTCAGCCCCAAGCCCTCAGGGACATTGATCGCCGACTTGTTGTCCACCTGGAGGACAATCGGCTTCCCAACGCCGAGCAGCTGAAATTCTGCAAGATGAAAGCAAAGTCGACACCCCTCCTTGCCAGCTTCTGTGGCTGCGACATACTCCGAATCCGTCGAGGAGAGCGTCGCACACTTGATGCGCTGGCTCGACCAGAAGACCGCGGCCCCTCCGAAGACAAACACGTGGCTGCCCGTGCTCGTTCGGTTCTGCTTGTTGCTAGCGTCGTTGGCATACACGTAGCCGACCAACTTCTACGACTATGGTCCACTACCAAACTCCAGTGCAATGTCACTTGTTGGCGAGGTAGGCGAGGCAGCGGTCGACCTCGTGCCAGTGTTGGACGCTCCACACCGTGAGGCCGCAACCCAGCATGTTGCAGGCGGAGGCGATATCCGGTCTCGTTGTCGTCGCCGCGAACTACAGCGAGCCAACCATTTGCTGATGCTCCTCCTCCTCGCGCTCCTACGCCTCCTCGTCGTCGAATGCTAGCTCAGCATAGGCGTCGTATTGCTCACGATCCATCACTTTAAGAGCTTACGGCGAACTCATTTCTCATCTAAACCAAGTTTGATCGGTAGGAATATGTGCCTTACGCTTAGCTACCATCTCCAATTTGAATAAACTGTGAGAACAAGTTGAAAATGTATAATAGCTGCATGACTAGAATGATGGAGGAAGTAAAATCATTAAGGCAAGACATGGTTGGAGACCGGGACTCCAGAAGAACCATGAGAGGGAAAGGGTCCTCCAAGAGCTAAGAAGGATGGTTGCAACCTTCCTAGCAGCAAGGATGCAACCCTCATCATGAGGTCCTTGAGGTGTCACATGCAAAATCCAATCTAGTTGGATTTTGCATACGTGTGGCAACATTTGCAACCCATGCAAGAAACTTCTAGCCACCCCAATCGCAATACGCCTGCGGAAGGAGCTCCACGGGCTATTCTAACTCCTTCATCGCTTCATCTTTGAGGATGTAGCTGGTGAGGGAGTCCTCATCAAGCGACTCCCACGTGCTCGAAACCAATAGCATCCGGCGCATGAAGTTGTAGCCGCTTGGCAGGCCTCTGACAATGTGTGTGATGTAGGATGCCATCAATTATGTAATGTCCACCATCCGCATCTCGGCGAACATCTGTCGAGCACGGATGTAGTGGTCCGTCGTCGACTCTTGCTTGCCCATCCGGACGTGTGTCATTTGCTCCTCTAGCTGTCCAATGTATAGGTCGCCCGTCGCCTGGTACTTTGATAGGATGAACTTCCACGCCTTGTGGCCAGCATCCAGTCGCTCTCGACAAGGTTTCAGCTCTATCTGCACCACCGGCAAGCAACACCTTGAGATGACCATGAAGGTGAGCAAGTGAGCCGAGCGGAACTCCCCACTCAGCTCGACCTCGTCCTTGTTCGGGATCGGCACAGTTCCTTCGGCGAAGCCCTTCAGCCCCGGAATCTCCAGCTGAGGCTCGATAGCCTCCCTTCACGTGATGAGGTCACGCCGACCTTGCAGCAGTGGGGTCATGGAGATTTTGTCCGGCGAGAACTTAAAGTACTCATACGCCAGAGCGATCCCTCCCCCTGTCACACGCGTTGTCGATGAGGGCCTCCTGTTGCTTCGAGGAGGAGAGTGACGTCGACCATCGACGTCGACGCGCGAGCTGCCTGCGGCTTCCGTCGACCGCTGCACTCGCGCCTGATTCCCTTCGACACCACAGTCGACGGACCTGATCACCTCACTTGTCTTCGTGCCCTCGCTGCCAACGACTCGACCACCTCGTCGATGCCACCTTCGTTCTGCACCGGTCGAGGAGATGCAGGTCGGGAGGGGTGTTCCGCCACCCACTTGGGCGCAGATGCTCAGCTCAACGACCTCCAAGGGGAGCACTGCGGAGATAAATACTTCAACGGGGCTAGACTATGGGGTAGGCACGGGGTAGGAGTGTTTGTAGCGTTCGTTCCTTAGTCGTTTGCTTGTGTTCT